GATGCGGCTCGATGCGGAGCCCGATTTTTGCTGCACGCACACGTCGCCGATGCATCGCCGACGTCGCCAGTGCATTTCCGATACATCGCCGATGCATTACGGATGCATCACCGATGTATCGGCGATGCGGCGCGATCCCCGGACCCCATCTATTCCGACCCCATCTAGGATCTGAGGTTGATAGACCTCCTACCCTGACACGTCGATTAGCGAATTGGCGTTTGCGGTTCGCGAGAGGGCGTCGCCGCCGTCTTTCTTGCGGGCCCAGGCCCGTCGGTTTCGGTCCTGCGCCGTTTTCACTAGAGGGTGGCTTACTGAAGGGAGATTTGTCCACCGCCGGTAGGAGGTCTCCATACATGAAATTGGTGCATCCGCGGCAAATTTTGGCCCAGGTGATTTTGGTTTACCGGTGTCGACCTGCCGCCCCCGCGCCCAGAGATCTGCGCGCCGGCCGCTGCGCCTGTGGCACGATGGCCGCCATCCTCGGCATGGGCAACCCGCTGCTCGACATCTCCGCCAACGCCGACAAGGCAATGTTCGAGAAGTACGGCCTGGAGCCCGGCGGCATCATCCTCGCCGAGGAGAAGCACATGCCCGTGTACGCGGAGATGCAGGCCAAGCCGGACGTGAAGTACATCGCGGGCGGCGCCACGCAGAACAGCATCCGCGTGGCGCAGTGGATGCTCCAGGAGGCGGGCGCCACAGCCTACATGGGGTGCGTTGGCAAGGACGCCAACGCTCAGAAGCTCAGGGACGCGTGCGTTGCCGACGGGGTCAACGCCCAGTACATGGAGGACGCCACGACTCCGACCGGCCTGTGCGCCTGCCTCATCATGGACAAGGAGCGGTCGCTGTGCACCAGCCTGGCGGCGGCCAACAACTACAAGGCGGAGCATGTGAAGCAGCCAGCCAACTGGGCGATTGTCGAGAAGGCGAAGATCATATACAGCGCCGGGTTCTTCATCACGGTGTCCCCTGAGGCCATCGAGGCCGTCTCCACGCACACCCGCCAGTCTGGCGCCATCTACTGCCTGAACCTGTCCGCGCCGTTCATCGTGCAGGTGCCGCCCTTCCGCGCCTGCCTCCAGAAGACGCTGCCAGACGTGGACTACCTCTTCGGCAACGAGACGGAGGCGCGCGCCTACGCGGAGGCCTGCGGCTGGGAGACAGACAACGTCGAGTTCATCGCCACTCGGCTCTCGCTGATCCCGATGAACGAGAAGGCCGGCAAGACGAGGAAGCGCCACGTGGTCATCACGCAGGGCTGCGAACCTACGGTGGTGGCCCTCAACGGTATGGTCACCCTCTACCCGATCATCAAGCTGGACTCCAGCAAGATCGTGGACACCAACGGCGCCGGAGACGCCTTCGTGGGGGGCTTCCTCGCGGCCCTGTCCAAGGGCAAGGACACCAAGGCGTGCTGCGAGGCGGGCAACCACTCCGCCTCCATCGTCATCCAGCACTCCGGCTGCACGTACCCCGCCAAGCCCGAGTACTCGTGGTAGATTGCCGTTGGGGTTGACCTCCCAGGTGGCAACAAAGGGGCAGCCTTCAGTCGGGGGCCTGTCCCTCTACAGGAGGGATGTCCAAAAATGGTCAAAACATAGTCCGGGGACGATTCTTTGATTACGTTTTTGAGCATTTGGGGGGCGTAATTTTCGAGGATTTTTGACTTTTCGCCCAAAATCCCCCTGTCGGGGGACGGGCCCGACCTGAGGGCAGCCTTTCCAGAGCTGGGCGGGTGCCGCGAGGTGGAGGGCGCGCGCCACACCTCCGCCCGCGCAGCGCCCCTCTGCGCACGCGTGCCGGCGGGCGCCTGGCGAAGTCGGCCGCATGGCTGGCGATCCCGGGCGCCCGCCCGCCGTCGCTCGGATCGGCTGCACGTCGGCCGGGGGCGGCAGAGAGGGGGGTGGCGACTAGGGTTAATCCGGGCGTGTCCCCTTACAGGGGGATTTTAGACGACAAATGAAAAATACACCCAAAATACCCCCAAGAGGCCCAAAAATATTCAAAAAATAGTTCCCAGACTATTTTTGGATTTTTTTTTTTTTTTTGTTTGTTTTTCTTTTTTTCTTGTTTATGAAAAAAATATTATGTTTGAGGTATTTTCGATTTTTCGTCGAAAATCCTCCTGTAGGGGGGACAGGCCCGACTTAAGACTAGGGGGGGTGGACATCGTGGCGGGGGCGATGATATCTCCCCAGATTTCATGGCGCCTCCTCTTATGTCGTCACGTCCCCGGCCCCCCCCCCCCTGGGCCGTGCACGTGCGGCTGGCCACGATTTGCGCCCCCCCCTCTTGGACGCCCCCCTCTTGGCCGCCCCCGAGTCAGGAAGTCCGGATGCAACTCCCGAGAGGCTCATCGTCGCATCGGTGCTGCTACACCCGGGGTCAAACACTGGCCGAAGCGGGCCTCATCCCACCCAGTTCCTCGTGAAATCCCGCTGAGAGCCGGCTTGCTCAGGCCGAATGCGGGTTGGGCGTTGCGTAATGGAGGGGTCATAAATGGGGGGGTGGCGAGAGTGGTCCGAAAAGGTACCCAAACGGTACCTAAACGAGCCCCCTGGGGGTCCGGACGGGCTCGAAAGAGGCACGAAAGGGGACCGTTTCTGAACCCCCCATTTATGACCCCCCCATGAAGCCACGCCCAAGCGGGGATTTCATCTGGACGCACGGCCCCTGTCCTCGCGAAGACCTCCCTGGAGCTGCCACCCGAGCTAAGAGTGACCCTTCGCCAGAGAGTGGCCGACCTCGGGCGCGCGGCCTCCAGTGGGCGCACGGGGGCCAAGCCCAAGCGCGCAGACCGCGGCGGACGCGCCGCGTGCAGCCATCACGAAGCCGCGCGCCAACGGGCGCTCTTGTCCAGGGTCACGCTTGCCGTGCGGCGGATCTCAGAGGAGCAGTTTTGGCAGCGAGGGCCCCCCCAAAGAGAGGGTCCCCCGAAGCGAGGGTCGACTCTCCTGCCTTCGCGGCAGTTTTCCATTTTGGGCCCTGCGGGGCGCTGGGGCTGGGCAGTCGCAGCGTTGCCCACCAGCGGGTAGGAATCACAAAAAGAGCATGAAGCGGCATGGGAAAGCGGAATGCGAAGCTGACAGACGAACTTCATTGAACAGCGAAGATTGGTCACATGGCGGCACGACAAGAGGTGGCTAAGTAGCCAATGCATGACTAGACGGAGTCAATGACAGGACAAAGATCGCCATTCCGGGACATTGGATTGCACCTTCGGCGCGCAAGCAGACATCAGGTCAACGCCATGTAACCATGAGTGTAAGTTCTAGCGTCACGAGCTAGTCTACGCGCCAGTCATAACACATATCGCCAACACGTTGTAGTAAAACGTTGCGTATATTAAGTGACTGGGTAAACGCGTGCAGCAATGACATAACATGTACTGGACAGGCGTGGACATCCTGTACGGATCACTGCCGAAATAATTATGTTGGACGCGATCCGATGGTATTGTTTTTGCATTGCGTAGCAATTCGTTCAGTTGTTTTCCGATGCGCTATATTTTCAGTGCTCCTTTGGATCGTCTTTGGTCTGCCTTTTTGGGTAGCCCTGGGCTCAGTGTTTGCATTGCAGACCCGCATACGTTTACTAGTCCCGACCGCCGTTCACCACCACAATTTCACCGTCTGTATTTGGAACACGTCCACCCAGACAGTGAGGTACTCGATTGTCGAATTCATACCGCATGAGTGTATACAAGAAGTTTTTCTGGCTTCTGCATAAACTTTGAAACCTTAGCATACAACATATACCGTGAGGCTACTTGCCACGTTTGCATTGGTACGAATTTGGACTTCCGCGCCAGTTAGAACTGGTATCAGTCGGTCGTGCTCCGTACCACGTTGCCTGGATTCGAAGGATCCCCCTCGGAGGAGGCGCGGAAGGATGAGAACGTTTTTGCTCGGCATTGGGCGGACAAGTGCAGAACCGCACTACCGTATTTGTTTCCATGGCGCTCGGACGTCGGCAGCGACACGTTTACAGCACCAACGGCCAGATCTGTTGTCTTCTCGGCGGAGTTTGGCTGCCAATGCATCTTCGATATGTGTTTCCCGTACTATGATTTACCGAATTCGCATCAGCAGTGCTTGGATTATGGCATTGTGGCTCTCTCCGCACATCGGAAGTTCTTTCATGGCAGGTGCACGTCGGGTTTGTATCAATGTGCAGATCCGACCCAGTGTTTACATGGCCAGTTGTCGACCCCCCCAGAGCCCCGACGTCATGTTTTTTGTTCAACGTCGACTCTCAGAGGTCTGGACTCATTCCCCAGGACTGGCTTTTCATCCCGAGTCGCTTTTGACGGTCCCGAGGCCTGGCAAGGGCCCCCAGAGGCAGAAAATAGAGAAAAACCTCCCGTCGTGTTTTTTTCATGACTCGAGGGGTCTGGGCCTTTTCCCTGGACTCGTTCCCTCATCCGGACAAATCCTTGACGGCCCCGTTTCGGGACTCCGACACGGCGCCCCGAAGACAGGGCGTCGCGACACACATGCGTACTGTTTTTGCTCAAGATTCTAGCCGCTTGGGTCCTTCGGGCGAACAGGCGACCCTCGAGCCTGCCCAGGGGTGCGCTCCGACCCGAATCTCGAGGCCGATCCCGCCGTGGCCATCGGGAGCCCCGTGGGAGGCCCCGGCGAGGCCCAGGCGTCCAAAACACGTCGGGAAGTCTGGGTCCTCCCAGACCCCCGGCGGCATCATTTTTTCCATGACGCGACCCCCGGAGGTTCGGACCCACTCCCCGGGACCCGTTTCTCCTCCCGCGTCGTTTTTGTTGACAGTCCCGAGGCTTGGCGCGGGCCCCCGGAGACCGAAGCCAGCGGAAAGCCTCCCGTCGTGATGCTTGTCACGACCCGAGGGGGTCTGGGCTGCATCCCTTCTCTGATTGCTCCTGCCCGCCTGGGGGAGGAGGAGCAGGAGGAGGAGGAGCGGGAGGAGGAGGAGGAGGAGGAGGAGGAGGAGGAGGAGGAGGAGGAGGGTCCCCCGCGGAGGTGGCGCAGCTCAAGGCGCAGCAGCTCGGCCAGGGCCCCGGCCCCGGGCACTCCCACGGCGGCGGCGGGGGCCAGCAGCCCAGCGCGCCCCCCCCGCGGGCCCACGGCGCGCCCAAGAAGCAGCTGGCCGCCCGCCCAGAGTACCGCGCGACTGGCGCGGAGGAGGACGAGGACGGACAGGGCGCTCTCGGCTCGGAGGAGAAAAACCGACATAAACATAAACTATGGGCGCTCCGCGCGGATTTCTTGGATCCGCGCTGGGCCTCCTGGCGGCGCCTCCTGCGCCGCCCCTGGCGCGCGGGGTCCGGCGCAGATCTAAGACATCCGCGCGGAGCGCCAACAGTTTATGTTTATGGCGTGTTTTTTTTTCTTCTATCTCAGCAGGATAGACGGGACAGGGCGATCTCAGCCGCAGACCCCCTCGGGTCATGAAAAAACACGACGGCGGGTTTTTCGCTATTTTCGGCCTCTGGGGTTCTTACCGGGCCTCAGGACGACTCGGGATGAAAAACCGGTCCCGGGGAATGGGTCGGGACTCGGGACCTCTGGGGGGCGCGTTATGAACAAAATCATGACGTCGGGGGCATGGGGCAGGAGGGGCAAATTTTCATCCCAGGCGCCCTCGCGTCGTCAAAGCATCACTCGGAGGCCTGGAGGTCTGGACCAACACCAAGATCGGCGGTGTGCCTTCACCGAGGGGAGATGATCCCGATCTCGGTGGTGGTGGTAGTACATGGGCCCCCTGGGTGACCGAAAGATCACCACCAACCAACACCAAAATCTAGGATCTTCCTCCCCCGGTGGACGAGCCCCCCTGTTTTGGTTTCGGTGCCCATGTCCAGACCTCCACCTCATGACGGACCGTTTTTGACTGTTTGCGTTAAGGCGGGCATGTCCCTCTACAGAGGGGAAATTCAGAAATAGTAAAAACAAATAGTCTGGGGACTATTTTCTGAGTTTTTCTTGCATTTCTGAATATTTTTTTGTTATTTTTTATTGATCGTCGAAAATCCACCTGCAGCCTTTGCGGCCTAATGTTTGCGGCCTTGCAGGGCCCTCACCGGGCCCGGGGAGCGTCGACGCGCGCTCCAGGAGGAAGCACCTGGCCCCGGGGAATTGGCCGAGATCTCTGGGCGTCGACGCTGCGACGTCGGGGGTCCAGGACCCTGACCTTCCAGGAGGGCGAGCAAGTAGCACCAGGACCTCGACATCTGATTTCCCGTCGAGGTGTTCGGCAGTCCAGACAGGTCTGTGGGTCTGCAGGGCCATTTTTTCGCACTCTGGTCACGACGGACCGGTTTTGACTGTTTGCGGCCTCCCACAGGGCCCTCACTGGGCACGGGGAGCATCGAAGCGCGCTCCAGGAGGAAACAAGAGGAGGAGGAGGAGGAGGAGGAGGAGGAGGAGGAGGAGGAGGAGGAGGAGGAGGAGGAGGAGGAGGAGGAGGAGGAGGAGGAGGAGGTTCAGATCTCTGGGCGTCCAGGAAGGGGTCCTGGACATCTGCTCGCCGCTCCCGGGCTCCCAGGCCGCGCTCCCAGGGCTTCGGCGGGGCCGCGGACCCAACGGCCCATGGGACTGGAAGAGCCAGTCCATTGGGGGAGCATCTCGGAGTCCCAGAGCCGTTTTTCTGCGTCTCTCGTGCTGAGGCAGGGACCCAGAGATCCAACGCATTGAAAAAATGACGACGGAGGTTTTTCGCTGCTTTCGGCCTCTAGGGGCCCTCGCCGGGCTCCAGGAGCGTCAAAAAATGACTCGGGATGAAAAGCCGGCCCTGGGGAAGGGGTCGAGACTTCGGGACCCCGCATTGAAAAAATCACGACGTCGGATTCATGGGGAGCTGGGGAGGGATCGGGGGGCAGGACCCAAACCCCCGACGTCATGATGCTGTTCATGACGCGACCCCCAGGGGTCCGGATCCTTTCCCCGGGACCGGTTTTTCATCCCGAGTCGCTGTTTGACAGCCCCGAGGGTCGGCAAGGAGCGAAGATTGAGGATCGAGGTTTCTGGCATTGCTTTCTGGGCTTCACCCCCTAAGAGATCGCGCACGGACCTCTCCCAGGGTGCGCCCCAGTCGTGTTTCGACTGGGGCCGTCCAGGAAGCAAGACGAACATCATCATCCTGGCTCCTCCACCTTTCTCCTCCTCGATCCTGCTCCCTCCTTCTCCTCCTCCTCCTCCTCCTTCCTCGTGTCCCTTCTTTTTCCTCGTCCTTTCGGTACGGTCGCTCCTCCTCCTCTTCCTCCTTCTCCTCCTCCTCCTCCTGTTCCTCCTCCTCCTTCTCCTCCTCTTCCGCGTCCTTCACCTCCACCTCTATCTCGTCTTCTTCTTCTTCTCCTTCTTCTTCTCCTCCTTCTTCTTCTTCTTCTTCCTCCTCCTCCTCGTCCTCCTCCTCTTCCCCGACCCGCGCTCGCAGAAGTACGCGCGGGGCGAGGGGGGAGCTGGAGGGCGGGAGTGAGAGGATGGCAGGAGACGGGGTAAGAGGTGAAGGAGGGCTGGTGATAGGATCGAAGCAGGAGGAGGAAGACGAAGAGGGGGAGGAGGGGGTTGAGGAGAAGGGGGAGCAGGAGGAGGGGGATGAGGAGAAGGAGTATGATGATGATGATGATGATGATGATGATGATGATGATGATGATGATGATGATGATGATGATGATGATGATGATGATGATGATGATGATGATGATGCTGATGACGAGACTTGTCCTAGGAACGTGTAGGAGATGAAACACAGAGGTCCGTATACGTCTCGCTCAAGCCTTTTTCTCTTGAGGGATCACCTGAAACGCATGCGCCCTTCAGCCTTCCAGCCGCCATCGTGGCTGCTGGTCTGCTTCTGGTGTGCTCTGGACGCGTGGCAGCCTGGGCTGCTGCGCACGGGCGGCGGAGGCGGCCCCCCCGACGACTGGGACCGTCGGGCTTCCCTCGCTGCCCAGCAGGCCGCTGAGCGCGAGGCTGAGCTCGCCGCGGCGCACGCGGCCAACCTCAGCGAGTGCTACTCCAGGCTCGGGCGGCTGCAGGTCGCGCTGGCCAACCTGTCGGCGGAGCTGGCCGAGCTCCGCGACGTCAAGCCCGTGCTGCCCACGGAGCCCGACTCGCTCCTCTGGCACGCTCTCGGGGTGGTGCTGACCGCGGCCTTGACGCAGTGCGCTACCTGCTTCGCCGCCCTCCGCCATCGTCATGGCCCTGTTGCCCGCGGACCTGAGGCTCCTGTCGAGCGACGGGAGCGTCGCCGCGGCGGAGGCGTTCTGTCGTGAATTGGTGCCGGGGAGGGTCGGTTGTTTCTACTATGACGACGACCCGAACAGATGGCACGAACGGCTGCTCCTGTGGCCATCAGTGGGGGCCTTCCCCAATATTTGCTGGACGTGCCTCACGCCAGACGGCGACGTGTACCCCGAAGACATGGCATCTGGCCCCGATGGGGACGGGCCGAGCCGTGTGTCTCTGACGGTGGGGGCGACACCAGCTGCTCTTCGGCCTCCCGGACGCGTCTACAGGTTTCGCAGCCTCCCCGCCGAAGAGGATATGATCCAGCTTTTTCGGCATGCGCGTGCTGCTGCCCGCGCCGCGGGCCTCGTCCACTCCGAGCCGACCGTCTTCATGCGCGGCGGCGACCAGCCCTCCACCAGCATGACGGTCAGCTTCTCCGACGTGCCGGGGTTTGTCCGCCGCGTGCCGCGGAAGGGCCCGTCCGTGGCCGCGCCCTCAGGCGCGCCCAGCGCCCAGCCCGCGGGCCCGGCGCTGGGCCCCCACGCCCACAACGGCGGCTCCGACGCCGATGGAGGGGCGCTCGCCGACGGCGAGGTGGGGGGCACGGAGACCCCGAGGGGCGGCCCTGGCCCGACGGTGCTCGCTGACGAGAGCGCCGCCCCTCCAGGATCCGCCTGGTTCGTTATGAAGACGATCCCGGACGAGTGCCAGCAGCTGGGCGAGGTCGCCCCGAAGGCCGGCGACGTGGTCTGGGGCGAGAGCGGGCTCTACTGCACGGCAGGCGGCTTCGTCGTGCCGATCAAGCTCCACCCCGTCCCGCTGCCCGTCGACGTGCTGGACAAGCTGGGCGACGACGATGCTCGCATCCTCGGCCCTCTCCAGCGGACGCGGGAGGGCCGCAGGCACCGCGATTTCCGCGAGGCCGTGGCGGCCATGAGGCAGGAGAAGCACGACGACTTCCCGCTCGTTGGCGAGCGCAGCTTCAAGTGGCTGTGCGAGTACATCGTGGACCACGGTGGCACGCCCGACGGCCGCCATACCAAGTGGATGATGGAGAGCGGCTGCGCCAAGGACTCGGCGGCCGCTCACCTCCGCGACCTCCTCAGCTCCTCGCGATCGAGCTCGGCGTCACCTACGATCAGGTGGACGGCTCGAACCTCGCCAGCATGGAGGTGGCGTCGAGGGCCTACCAGCTGATCGAGGAAACCATGGGGAGCATGAAGATTGAGGGCGTCGAGCACTACATCGGCCGCCAGAAGCAGAGCGCCCGCCGCGGCGTCGCGATGGCGCCAGGTGTCGCCAAGTACGCCACCGACCAGCTTGCCAAGGAGACGGAGATCCAGAAGCAGCGTCGCAAGGCGCGCGAGGAGAAGACTGCCCAGTCGGGCAAGAAGAATCAGGGGCGACCTGGGGACAGCGGTCGGGGGGTGGCTCGGCCTGACCGCCGCATTTCGAGAGCCAGTTTTGTGGACGTGCTGATGTGCGATGGCATGCTGCCGTTCGCGGTGCCCGCGTCGCCGATTGTTCCACCTCCTCCGCCTGAACTACCCCGTGCAGTTCGGGCTCGCTTGTCTCGCGCCCAGTTGATCGAGGAGCGTGCTCGGGACACCGCGGAGTGCCTCAACCTGCTCGGGGGCTACGCCACGCCGCAGGTCATGCCAGAGCGCCTCTCGCAGCCGGATGGGTTTTTGCTTCGACGAGTTCGAGGGCTGCATCGCAAGATGGCAGCCCCTCCGAGCACGTCGGCCCAGGAAGCCTGCTCTGAGCTTGTGGGCCGCCCGTGTCTCCACTACGACACGACTGATGACTTGCCGCTGAGGCCCTGCGCTCCGCACCTCGTGAGCTGGCCCGAGTTGGGAAACGAGCCTCAGTGGCTCGCAGATCGGCTGGGGGCTGGCGACCGATGCTCTCTCTTGGGCCTCGACCACGCTTTGCTGCTGCCGCCGCCGAGCTTCGACCAAGCCGTGGAGACAGAGGGGGGGCCCACGTTGTGCATGGACCCTGTGCTGGAGCGGAACAGGCCGCTCTACTTAGAACGCATCAAGTCTGGCATCTCGCGGAGCGTCTTCGCCTTGGGCAAAGAACGGGTAGAGGACGTCGCCGCTTTCTTCGTGGCTAAGAAGAAGGACGAGCGGATCAGGACGGTGATGGACTGCAGGCGTAGCAACCAGCGTTTTCAGCCCCCCCCCCCCGGTCAACCTGCTCTCCGCCGCGGGGTTCGCGGACCTCGAGGTGCCGAAGGACGCGCCCTTCTACTTCGCGGGGGTAGACGTCCAGAACGCGTTCTACCAGCAAAGGTTGTCAGCGCACCTGCGGTCGCATTACTGCTTGCCGAAGGTCGCCGCGGGCGAGCTCGGCATCTGCACGCTTGACGGGCGGCGTGCCCCGCCCTGGGCCTGTCTCTACTTTCAACTTGCCGTCCTTCCCATGGGGTGGAGCTGGGCACTTCTTTTCGCGCAGAAGGCCCACGAGCGGACGTTGGACCAGTCCGACGCCCTGAGGCCCGAGCTGCGGGCGGTCGGCTTCGCGCCGACCCCTAGCCCGCTCAAGGAGCCCATCCACTCGCTGTGCGTGGGCAACGTCCTCGTGGTCGGCACTGACCGCGCGGCCGTGACCGAGGTCAGGCGCGAGGCCTCCAAGGCCCTGGAGGGCGCGGGCCTGGCCGTCCATGAGGAGACCGACGCGGCTGAGAACATGGCGATGCTTGGCGGGCAGCTCGAGGGGTGCCCCGCCCGCGCCGCCTTGGCACCGCGGCGTTTCTGGAAACTCTACATGGGGCTCGGCTACCTGGTGCAGCGCCAGCCCCGCGTCACCAGCCGCGACATCGAGCGCGTCGTCGGCCACTGCACCTTCGCCGCGCTGTGCAGGCGCGAGAGCTTGAGCTGCTTCAGCGCCGTGTACTCTTTCGTCCAGCAGAGGTGCCAGCGTGCCAGGCCCCTGTGGGCGCCCGCGCGGCGCGAGCTCAGAATCTTTCGATGGGCTGCTGATCGCGCTCAGCTCGGACCTCGACGCCGAGTGGCCCACGAAGGTCGTCATGACTGACGCCTTCGAGACGGGCCACGCCTCTGTCGTGGGCGAGTGGGAGCTGTCGGAGGTGCAGCGTGCTTGTCGCTGGCACGAGCGGCGGCGCTTCCGTCGCGCACGTGAGGCCGACGGGGGCTGGGGGCCGCCGAGCTCGATGCACATCCGTCTGTCCTGTTGCGAGGGGGTCTCGTCAATGAGAGATTCCCTGAGGTGTCGACACGCGCCATCCGCCGCACCACCTGGACGACCATGCACTATTCGCCGCTTTTCGGGAAGGGGCCTATGTATCGTAAGGAGGCAAAAGGAGACTTACACGCCGTGAAGCTGATCCTGTCGGACGCGGACTCCCGGGGGAAGAGGCGCGTGGTCTTGGGGGACACTCTTGCACTAACACTTGCACTATCTAAAGGACGTTGCCGTGATATATATATATATATATATATATATATATATGTATATATATATGTGCTCAATATCCTGCGCAGAGGCGCCGCTTTTGCACTTGCTTCGGGGGCCCGCATACATCGTCGATGGCCTCCCAGCGAGTTCAATGCGGCGGACCGTGACAGCCGCGCCCGCGAGGGCGCTGGCGGCCGCGCTGCACCTGGGGCCAGCTGGCGCGCTACCGCAGCGCGTGGGCGTCAGCTCCGGCACCACCGCGGCTCGGCGCGGGGCCCCGAGGGCGACAGTCGACCCGGCGGCGGCTGGCCCGCGGCCCTTAAGGGCCCGCCTGGGCTCGGCCGCCCTGCAGCCAGCGCGCCCCCCGCGGGCCGTGGCCCAGCGGCGCCCGTGACGACCGGGCGGCTGAAGCGCAGCGAGCCTGGGGGCTCTCCGGCGGCGCCGGCCCCTCTGCGGCCCCTGGCGCTGCGGGCGCTGGCACGCTGTGGCTCGGGCCCCCTGGGCTCGCCGCGCCGATCCTTGGCCGGGCGCAGCCTTCCGTCGGTGGTGCTGGCGGCCCCGCGCGACATCCCCACGAGGGAGCTGCCTCGCTCGGCGCGGCGCCGCCTGGGCGCCGGGGAGCAGGCTCGGGGCACGACCCGCCAGCTCTCCATCGCCGAGGCGGCGGCGGTTGGCCGGCGGAGCCGCGTGCAGCATGCGCGGCTGCTCGAGCTATTCCTCAGCCGCAGCCGCCTGAAGTCCCTGGCGGGGCCCGCCGCCGACGCGGACGCGGCCCTGGTCAAGTCCTTCGACGATCTGTACCTCGAGGGAGAAATCGCGTCCACGGGCGAGAAGGTGCTTGCCGCCATTTTCATGCATGTGCCCGACTACCGAAGCAAGGGGAAGCTGGCCCTGCCGCGCGCTTACCGTGCGCTGCGAGGCCGGCGCCTGCTGCGGCCGTCGCGGACGCGGCGCCCTCTGCCGCGGGCGACCTGCATGGGCGTGGCGCGGCAGTTTTGGCGGCTCAGCGGCCGCCTCGACCTCGCAGTGTTCTGGCTGGTGATGGTGGGCGCCTACCTGCGGCCCGGCGAGGCGCCCCGCCCGACGCGCGGCAGATCATCCCACCGCAGGCGCGGATGCCGAAGGTGACGATCCACATCAACCCCGACTACATGAAGAGGCCCAGCAAGACTGGCGAGATGGACGAGACCGTGGACGTGGCGCGACCCTGGCCGGGCAGCCTACTGGCTCGACTGGCCCAAAGCCCGCCCGGCAGCACCCTGTGAGCTTCGCCATGACGGTGGACCAAGGAGATGTTCGAGCGTGCGGTGCGCGAGCTGAAACTGGACGAACTGCTGCCCGTGCTCTACACGGCCCGGCACAGGGGCGCGTCCAACGATCTCTTCACGGGGAGGATCTCGCTGCAGGAGGTTCAGCGGCGCGGCAGGTGGCGCCAGCCCAGCTCGGTCCGGCGCTGTGAGAAGCGCGGGCTCATCCAGGCGGTGTGGAGCCAGATGGGGCCCTCGGCCAGGTCTTACTGCCTGAAGGCCGAGGCCGAGCTGCCCTCGCTGCTCGTCGCCGCCTCGCTATCCGTCAACGCTTGAGCGATCCCCGCGCCAAGAGAGAAGAGTTTATCTTTATGGAGATCTTCTCGGGTTCTGAGCATTGCTCGAACTCGCTTCTTCGCCGTGGTTTCAGAGCGTATTCCTTTGATGTGCTTCAAAGGCCCTCAGGTGACCTCCTGAGGCCCGTGGTTTTGGAACGCATCCTACGAATGCTCAGGTCCGACAGATGCCTCGGGTTGTTAGCTGGCGTTCCGTGCAAATCGTTCTCCATTGCCCGTGGGGGCCATAACGCAATAAGATCCTCTCAGGCTCCCTCTGGCCTCCCCTCTCTCCCTCCTCATATGCAGACCCTTGTAGACGAGGGCAACAAGCTGTTTCAGGTGTCCTTTAAGATATCTAGATGCTGTAAACAGATGCGGGTTTCTTTTTGTGGGAAAATCCTCAGTCAATCTACATGTGGAGCATGAAAGCTGCCGTTCAGGTTTTTCGCTGGCCCGGGGTCCGCGACACTATAGCGAATTATTGTGGTTGGGGCACTCCCTGGTGTAAACCAACTAGGCTGAGGTGCTACCTGTTGCCGCGAGCCGACGAATTGTGTAAGCGTTGTAAAGCTGTCCGTGGTATCTGCTCGTTCTCTGGAAAGAAGCACCAGATCCTCCAGGGCCGAGACGGCCTGGGCGTTCATTGGACCGCCCGTGCTGCCGCCGACCCAGAGGTGTTGGCTAATCGAATGGCCGATGTTTTTCACGATTCTGTTTTCGATCGCGTCTTTCGGCGAACGCTCCGCCTGTACCCCTTCCGTGCAATTGACCCCGAGCCGCCCTGACGGCAGAGAACCGATAGCGACTTTTGGTGCTTCGATGTTCGGCACGGATCTGTAAAGTGCGTTGTGTGTCTCACGCGGGCGTGTGTTCAGGTTTGTGCTGTCTCTGCAAGGTCACCACATGCGGATGACAAACATGAGAGTTCTGTAAAATATGGACGGGTGGGGAATCTCCGACTTGTCCTAGGAACGTGTAGGAGAAGACACACAGAGGTCCGTATACGTCTCGCTCAAGCCTCCCTCCCCGTCTCAACTGGTGCACGACCTACCCGCCCTGGCTTTCGGCGGGCCGCAAGCAATTGTCTAGGCTGCACGGATCTGTAAAGTGTGTTGTGTGTCTCACGCCGGCGTGTGTTCAGGTTTGTGCTGTCTCTGCAAGGTCACCGCATGCGGATGACAAACATGAGAGTTCTGTAAAATATGGATGGGTGGGGAATCTCCGCATTATGATGATGCTGATGGTGATGATGGGGATGCCGATGATGATGATGATGATGATGATGATGATGATGATGATGATGCTGATGATGATCATGATCATGATCATGATCATTATGATGATGATGGTGATGATGATGATGATGATGATGATGCTGATGATGCTGATGAGTATGTTGATGATGCTGATGCTGATGCTGATTATGATGCTGATGCTGCTGCTGCTGGTGCTGGTGCTGATGCTGATGTTGCTGCTGATGCTGCTGATGATGTTCATGATGATGATGGTGATGATGATGAGTACTCTATAGTTATTATTGTTGTTGTTGCTAGTGTTGTTGTTGTTGTTGTTGCTGTTGTTGTTGCTGCTGTTGTTGTTGTTGTTATTGTTGTTGTTGTTGTTGTTGTTGTTGTTGACAGTGATGGTGATGATGATGAGGAGGAGGAAGAGGAGGAGGAGGAGGAGGAGGAGGAAAAGGAGGAGGAGTAGGAGGCGGAGGAGGAGGAGGAGTATGAGGAGGACTTCGAGGTGGAGGTGGAGGAGTAGGAGGAGGAGAAGGAGGAGGAGGAGGAGGACCAGGAGAAAGGAGCTGGATGATGAGAAGGCGGCGGAGGAGGCGGAGGAGGAGGACGACGACGATGTCGACGACGGTTCCTCTGTTGCATGGGCCGCTGCTCGTCCTGGGAGGACTTCCACGGGCACCACGCGGCAGCTATGCTGAACCAGGGAGGCCTCCTCAGCATGAGCTCCATCTCGCCGCAGGCGACAGGGAAGAGGGAGGAGGCGGCGTAGAAGGAGGAGGAGGAAGCTCGCGAAGTCAGAACCGCCTCTAGTTCCAAGCTCGAAGACGTAGGCGGAGGAGGAGGAGGAGGAGGAGGAGGAGGAGTGGTCGACGTAGCCGAAACGAAATTGATGATGGTGATGGTAATGATGGTGATGATGATGATGATGATGATGATGATGCTGATGATGATGATGATGCTAATGCTGATGCTGGTGCTGATGCTGAAGATAATGACCATGATCATGATGATCATGCTGATGCTGCTGATGATGATGATGATGATGATGGTGATGGTGGTGATGATGCTGGTGATGCGGATGACGAGGATGATACTGATGGTGATTATGATTGTGTTGATACTGATGATGCTGCTTATGACGATGATGGTGGTGATGAGGATACTGATCATGCTGATGGTGATGTTAATGCTGATGATGATGGTGCTGATGATGATTATGATGATGCTGATGCTGATGCTGATGATGCTGATGATGATGGTGATAATGACGGTGATGCTGGTGATGATGAGAATGATGATGTTGAGGAGAAGGAGGAGATGACTTCTGATGAGGGTGGCGACGATGATATTGGGACCGCTAATGGTAAAGCTGCTGCTGCTGCTGATCGTGATGGTGATGCTGGTAATGGTGATGGTGTTGATGACAACGACGACGATGCTGCCGATACTGCGGATGGTGATTACGATGACGAAGACAGCAACGACGACGATTACGACGACGATGATGATGATTCTGATCCTGGTGATGATGATGATGATGATGATGATGATGATGATGATGATGATGATGATGATGATATTGCTTCTGCTGATCGTGATGATCATGATGATGATGGTACCGGTGATGGTGTCGATGATACCGACGACGATGCTGTCGATACTGCGGATGGTGATTACGATGACGAAGACGATGACAGCAATGACGGCGATTTCGACGACGACCATGATGACGTTTCTCTGATTTTGGTGATGATCATGATACTGATGATGATGATGATGATGATGATGATGATGATTATGATGATGATGATGATGATGATGATGATGATGATGATGATGATGATGATGATGATGATAGCGATGCTGATGCTGATGATGCTGCTGCTGCTGATGATGACGATGACAATGACGATGATCATGATGAGGCAGCTGATGCTGATGCTGATGCTGATGATTACGATGAAGATGACAATGACGATGATGATGCTGATGATGACGATGATGATGCTGATGCTGATGATGATGATAATGGCAATTTATGATGCTAATGAGGCTGGTGACTATGATGAGTATGGTGATGCTGATGGTGGTGATGATGATGAGGAGGGGGATGACAAGGAGGAGGTGGAGGAGAATAATGATAATGATATTGCGGATGATGATGGCGCTGATGACGACGATGGTGATGATGATGCTGCTGATGATGATGATACTGATGATGATGATGATGATGATGATGATGATGATGATGATGATGATGATGAGGATGATGATGAGGATGCTGCTGCTGCTGCTGCTGATGATGATGATGATGATGATGATGATGATGATGCTGATGCTGACTATGACTATGATGATTTGAGGGAGTTTCTGTGGAACTCACGTCATCCTCACCCCCGGCGCGAAGAGCACGAGTCCAGAGCGGCCTCCGGCACCGTTTCCGGACGGATCCGGACGGATCCGCTGGATCCGGGGACGAATCCCAAACCGGCGCCCTCGCCTGAGACATCCCCGCAAAACCGGCCCCGGGGGAGGTGCCCAGAGGAGCCCAGAGCGGCCTCTGGCACCGTTTCCGGACGGATCCGGACGGATCCGCTGGATCCGGGGACGAATCCCAAACCGGCGCCCTCGCCTGAGACATCCCCGCAAAACCGGCCCCGGGGGAGGTGCCCAGAGAAGCCCAGAGCGGCCTCCGGCACCGTTTCCGGACGGATCCGGACGGATCCGCTGGATCCGGGGACGAATCCCAAACCGGCGCCCTCGCCTCAGACATCCCCGCAAAACCGGCCCCGGGGGAGGTGCCCAGAGGAGCCCAGAGCGGCCTCCGGCACCGTTTCCGGACGGATCCCGGATCCGCTGGATCCGCTGGATCCGGGGACGAATCCCAAACCGGCGCCCTCGCCTGAGACATCCCCGCAAAACCGGCCCCGGGGGAGGTGCCCACAGGAGCCCAGAGCGGCCTCCGGCACCGTTTCCGGACGGATCCGGACGGATCCGCTGGATCCGGGGACGAATCCCAAACCGGCGCCCTCGCCTGAGACATCCCCGCAAATCCGGCCCCGGGGGAGGTGGCCAGAGAGCCCAGAGCGGCTTCCGGCACCGTTTCCGGACGGATCCGGACGGATCCGCTGGATCCGGGGGCGAATCCCAAACCGGCGCCCTCGCCTGAGACATCCCCGCAAAACCGGCCCCGGGGGAGGTGCCCACAGGAGCCCAGAGCGGCCTCCGGCACCGTTTCCGGACGGATCCGGACGGATCCGCTGGATCCGGGGACGAATCCCAAACCGGCGCCCTCGCTTGAGACATCCTCACAAAACCGGCCCCGGGGGAGGTGCCCAGAGGAGCCCAGAGCGGCCTCCGGCACCGTTTCCGGACAGATCCGGACAGATCCGGTGGATCCGCGCCCCGGGGGAGGTGCCCAGAGGAGGAATGAGGAGGAGGAGGAGGAGGAGGAGGAGGAGGAGGAGGAGGAGGAGGAGGAGAAGATGATGGAGCTGCGGGGTGGAGGAGGACAGACGGAGGCAAGAGAAGGATGGAGGAGGAGGAGGAGGAGGAGGAGGAGGGAGGAGGAGGAGGAACCTCATCCTCACCCTCGCCAACAAGCGCACGCACCTTCTTCTATATACAGAAACTCCCGATCAACCGCAGAGCGGCCGGCTAGTAGTGCTGTGATGGTGATGCTGGCGAAGAGAAGGATGACACCGTGGTCACTCTTCCTGCACTCGCCCTGGTAGATGTTCGCGAACCGCTTCGGCTGGATGGACTTGACTGACGGCTTCCACTGCCTGCCACGTCCGTTTGTCAGTGCTTGCCGCATCTCTTGCTGGGTTGGATCGTCTCGCACCCCTCGGCAGGCTTGGCTGATCTTCCTTATCCCCTAGCCCTCCTTCTGGAGCTGTGCAGGCCTCGTTCGCGAAGCCGACGTGCTTTACCGCCGTGGCGCTTCGTAGCTCCTCGCAGACAGGCTCGACATTGGACTTCGTCTTCGCCTCCTCGTCTTGCTGCCATTTACCTGCCTTCCCGCGCGCGCTGAACGCTGGCTCCGCGCAACAACCGATGGCGGCTGGCTACATCCCAGCTTCTATACCGCGCTGCTCACCGTCCACCAACTCACCCCAACCCAACCCGAAGGCCCCGATTTACCCTCCATTTCCAGTGAGGGGGGGTCGGGGAACATTGAAGAACCACACATGAAGCCCGTTCACCCTCCAGCCCGAAATTCGAGTCTTCGGGTTGGTTTGGGGTGGTCTGGTAGGCGGTCAGCTGCCACCGCCCGTCCTGCAGCTGACGCCGCTTGGCCCCAGCCTCGTCCTACCCCCCGGGTCCCGCAGCCGCTGCTCCGCTCCCCCTGCCGCTCGCTCTGCGCAGGCCCCGCCGCACCGCGGCCGACGGCGGCCGGCCGCTTCGCCTCGACTCCGTGCTGCCGCACGCGCCGTCCGCGGCCTCTTTCTGCCGCTTCTCGGACCTCTCGACCTTCCCGGAAGCAGGCTCCACACGGCAGCGGGCCGCGGCGGAGCCGCGTCCTCCTCCCCTCCGGTCAGCGCTGCCTCCGCTCTGCCTTCGCGCACGCGCTGCTTGCAGGCTCCACACGGCAGCTTGCGTCGCCCGGGTCGCGCGCTCTTGCGCGCCGCTGGCCCCGCAGCGGGGGCGGGCCCTGACTGGAGGGTTCCGCTTCTTGAGGATCGCAATCCTCGCAATCCCCGCGCTCTCGCACTCGCATTCTCTGGACGCAGGCTCTGCATCGACACATCAGTTGGCAGAGGGTGGGGGAGGAGGTGGAGGAGGAGGACGAAGAAGAAAAAGAGGAGAAGGGAGGGAGGTAGGGGGGCAGGGAGGAGGGAGGGAAGGAGGGAGAGGAAAGAGAAAGAGGAAGAGAAAGAGGCAGAGAGAGAAGAGGAAGAGGGCGAGCAAGAGAAGGAGGAAGAGGAAGGAGGAGGAGGAGGAGGAGGAGGAGGAGGAGGAGGAGAGGAGGAGGAGGAGGAGGAGGAGGAGGGAGGAGGAGGAGGAGGAGATGGAGGAGGAGGAGGTGGACGAGGAAAAGGGGAGGAGGAGGAGGAGGAGGAGGAGGAGGAGGAGGAGGAGGAGGAGGAGGAGGAGGAGGGAGGAGGAGAAGCGTGATGGGAGGAGGCGGGGGAGGTGAGGTGGAAAAGGCGGGCACCCTTTTCCGACTTCCGCTTCCGCGCCAACGTCCTCTATCCCTGCACCCTCCTCCTTGATCCTCCTCCTCCTCATCTTCCTCGCCTTCTACCCTCCTTCCTCCTTCTCCACCACCCTCCCCCGCCCTCGTCCTCCTTCTTTCTCATAGCCGCGCTGGCCCAAGTCTCTTCGCATACTTTTGCGGCTACGGATGTGTGTTCTTCCATACCCAGCGCTTCCTTGCCCCTCCATGCAGGCACCCCTCCGACGCGGCGCGCGGTTTGCACGTGCTTTCCCATTCCTGTGGCGCACAAGGTGACGTCTTTGTTGCACAGCGACAGAGCATAGGAGGTGAGCGACGGATATTCCAGCACTGACATTTGTTTTCCAGGTGCATGAGTACGAAGGAAGCACACCGCCTGCGCCAGCACGACGTCCTTGGACCAGCACGCACATGTACTGAACTGGGGATATGGGCGTGGACGGCTGGTCTCATCACGTGCGAGCGTGCAGGCCAGAGTGCGTAAGCAACCAGTTCTTCTTCGACATACTGCGCAGATTCATTCCCCACCCGCAGGACTTCAAGGCCGATTTGGAGCAGTG